TGAACAGAGACAACGCGAGCAGTGATCAAGTCATTTGTTAGCAGGCTTTGCCAGCAGGCCAAAAATCCTTTTGTAACATAAAAATTTGACAGCAAGTATACTTCTAACTAATACAAATAAACTGGTAAATGCTTCAAGTGCCTTTTGGGTTTTAATGTATACGCTGAGATTATTGAAGTAGAACACTTCTGTGATTAACCGTATGCAGCAGCAATCCTAGTATTGACAAGTAGAAGTGATTATTGCAGTAATAAGTTGCCTGCAATGCACCACTGTGTGTGTGCATTCAGTCTTGTTCCTTTTCTTGATGATGTGTGTCATCTATAGGAAATAAACTACCTGAGTTATTCCGTGAATTTGAGATACTTGCAGTTGACTGCGAAAGATCTGAATTAAGACTTGCAAGGCCCATCTGTTTGCATCTTAACTGAATCTAAAAACATCCTGATTTTGGTGAGAACTGGGAGGATCGGGATGTAGGTGTGCACCAATGTAACGGCGCATCTGTAGTACACAGATACTGTATAGATGTGGGGAGAGGGAGATATCTATGTCTCTTAGGTTATTCAGTTGGGGAGAGTAATTATATAAAAATTACCTGCTTGCACAGAAGCAAAGACAGAACCGTTTAAATCGTCGTAAGAGCATTTGAGATGCATTCACAGCCTGCTAAAATTTTCTGTTCAATGGTATTCAGCTGAGAATTTATTGGCAGCCAGGCTTGCCAGAGCACACGCGGGCCGCTTGCAGGCGTTCCCCAGTTGCTGCCCCAGACCCCCTGCCTGGCTGAAGGTGCCTCTTCACCGGCGGCACCTCGGCCAAGCCTTCCCTTGAAGCAGGTTGCCAGAGCTGATGCTGCCAAGTCTGCTGTCAGTTCCTACATTTAATCTTCCCTGCTACACTGCTTTCCTGCGAGTGCTCTGTGTTCCACCTTCATTTTATGCTTATGAAAGATGGGATAAGTGCAAATTTATGCTAAGATTAGCCTCCTTTTAGTTCAGCATGAGATCATAGACATGTGCTTGAGAGAGATGGTTCAAGAGGTTGCTAGTCCACCTCCTGCAGCGAGGCAAAGCAGTGGCTCAGGCATGCGACTGCTGAGGGGTTTGCTACACATGGGGGGACTGGAGGCAACAAAGCCGAAGGGCCAAAAACCAACCCCAAGCATCTCTGGAGGTTAGTGGGGGAGCTTTTCTAACCTGTGCTTTAAAGCTAGTAGGATGCGAGCTCTCTGGTGCCCCTACGCTAGGTCTTGCAGGACAGATTCATAAATGGGTTGTTTTTTCTTAACTCTCTCCATTGCAACTAAGTATGCCAGCTAGTTCTTGCCCTATCAAATAGGACACGAAGGACACTTAATCTCTTCTAACTACATATTGGAAGGTTGTCTTCTCTTCCCGTTGCCTGGAGAAAAAACTAATTAGGTACGCATTTGTTCTTTGTGGTGTAATGGCCAGCCGCTCCCCCAGCTGTGCTCTAATGACAGTCCTGCATCATGTCATATAAGAAATAACACAGATTTGGGATGGGGGGGGGATGACAGACAAAGTAAAAAGGAGAAAGTGTGGCTTGGCTGGCTTGCTGCACATCACCAGCACGCCTAGGTGGGCCCAGAGGAAAACCAGAGCACGTAGGCCAGGGCCAGGATCTTCTTTCAAGCTTATCCATCTTCTGACCAGATCCTCTGCTTGCCGCAGACCCTGTTATTTATTTCCCTTGCACCATCGACCTGCCTCCTTCGTGCCACCCCCGAGGCAGCGCGCACCTCCGCCAGCCTCGTTACCCCTGCCTGCTTTCTTCGCTCCTGCCTCCGACTGCAACGGGGGAAAATCTCCTCGCGCTGAGGAGCCCTGCGCAGCTTGAACGCAGAAGTGGATCGTAATTGGAACCCACCGCCCACCCCGGGGAGAGAAGCCGTTTCCAAATGAAGACTATTATCCTGAGTGAATGCGAGCGAACGCATCTCATAGGGGACTTTTAAAAA